AATTGCGAGGTGAATTGAATAATTATGCAAAATACTTGTGAATCTCAAATTCGGATTTTTTTTTTATAGCATTTCAGGCCTCCGGCCCACTTGTTAATATGATTCAATTGAGCCATTAATGAAATTGCACCTGTGCAGGCTACAATTATTTTGTGCAGTTAATTTTATTTAAGAGTAAAATATCAATATAAGTTTTGGGTTTTTAATTATTATTTGATGTTGATATGAAATGTAGTTATTGTTCAGCTAAAAATTGATAAATGCAGTATGGCAAACCTGATGTATGAAAACTGTAAATAATCATCAAAGTTGGGATATTTCAACCCATTATTGATTTTCTTGTATTTCTTTGAAAAAACAATCAGTATAATAAAATGTCAGTCTATGAGTGCATGAATTATATATGATCATTAGTATTCTTCAGTTTTTCCCAAAACATTTCAGTCAATGGTCCAGACAATCTGACAGTTTTGCATCATGTTAGTTTTAATCTTTCAGAAATCAAGGAAGAAGACCCCTTGGAGAAGTTAGTCGCTATAGAAGAGAGGAAAGTAAACAAACTTGACGAGCTGACATCCATATGGAAAGATTTCTTCCTCTGCATAAAAGCCTACCAAGACAGAGACTTGGCAGTTAAAGAAAAATTAGTTGCCATGAAGAAAAGGAAAATGAATTGTGTGATTACAGTGTCTTCCCAACAATCACCTTCCCTAACGAGTATTGAAATGTATGTCAACTAATTGTAGTTATTTGAAGGGAAATTGCTAACTTTTCCAGTAGTTATTTTCATTTCAGTATAATCATAAAGATAAATAGTTCCTAATTGCCAAAATTGTCATGTTAGGAATACATGAGAGTACATCAATGTAGCAAATTGTACAATATCTATTGTGAAAATATACAAAACCCTGACATTGTATGGTGTAATGGAGTTGACTGTTACAAACTTCACTATACAGTGTATGAACTTTCAGATAAATCCCCAGTAAATAAAGTAAGAAAATCAAACCAGATTATAATATGCATAATACAATATCTGTGCAAACAGAGATACCTTCTCTACTTTAGAGTTTAGATAATTTTGTGATCTTAGAGTTTATATTTTGCAGAGAAATCCAAAACAATATTACGGATGTCAACTTCTTCTTTATTGTTTCAGGGCTTTTCCTTGTCCCTTCGTCAGGAGAATGCTAACTATCAGCATCTATGTACTAGTAATGTACATGAAGTCAGAGTGAATTTTAGCAAGTTACTTACCCACTTAACTTTTTTTTGTATATCAATTCTCTTTCCACATGGGTACATTGTGTGAAGCCCATTTCTGGTGTCCCCCGCTGTGATGTTGCTGGAATATTGCTGAAAGCGGCTTAAAACCAAACTCAGTCAGTCAGTCAGGCACTGAAGACCAGGGGAGACAATCTTGTCTTCACGCATTTTCTAGCAGCATGCACAGCTTATGCACTGGTCGAACGTATTCGCCTGACCGAGTTTTGACTCGAACAGCACAAACGAGCCCTTTCCCATCAGACATAACATCTAGGACGCGGGCCATAGCCCAGGAGTTCCTTGGAGTGTTATCAACTATGAGCACAACATCTCCGACTTGTACGTTTCTTTTCCGAAAACACCACTTCTGTCTTTAAGTGATTTAAGAGTACTATATACTCTTTCTGCCAAGGTACTGGATTTGCTTCCAGCGACGTTTTCCATAACTGTCATCTTTGTCAAAGATACCAGGTGGAAAGCTTTCACCAGGTCTAAGCAGCAGGAGGTGATTTGAGTTAAGAGGGTCAGTCACTGGGATCTGATGATAATTCTGTAATTGGGCGATTGTTGAGAATTGCTTCGATGTCACAAAACAGAGCTTGTAGCCCTTCATCATCCAAATGAATAGTTTGCTCTTGCATGAGAGAATAAAGAATCTTTCTTACTGATCTAATGAGCCTCTCCCAAATTCACGAAATGTGAGCCCACTAGGTGGGTTGAAGCGCCATTCAATGTGCTTGTTGGAGTTCTTTTTGTGATTTTGTGTTGATTCAAATTCTGAATTTCCAGTTTTAATTCCTTCTGAGAGCCAACCAAGTTGGTTCCATTGTCTGAGTAAATGGATTTCACATGGCCTCGTCTCGCAGTAAAGCGGCGAATAGCATTTATACATGAATCTGTGTTGAGGCTGTGTGCCACTTCCAAGTGGACAGCCCTTATGGCTAAACAGGTGAAAACTACACCATAACATTTGACATGGACTCTCCCACGTTTCACCAATATTGGTCCGAAGAAATCCATTCCTGTGTTGGTAAATGGCGGTTCATCAGTTGACAATCTTCTTTGCGGCAAGTCACACACCCATCTTCTGTCCACGAGTTTGAGCCTGATATTTCCTGCATGTTATGCATTTAGACAGGACACGTTTTGATTACATTTCCTGCTCCTACAATCCAAAACTTTTGACGAAGTTCAGACAGCATTGTGTTTTCCCCTAAATGTCCAACCCTTTTGTGAACATCTCTCACGATGACTTCAGTGAGGTGAGGAGAGTTCTTTGGCTGTATGATAGGATGTTTAGCATCATAAGAAAGTTCTGCTTTGTCAATTCTACCTCCAACTCGAAGTATGCCTCTTGAAAGAATGGGATCAAGTTTGCGCAGGGATGAATAGTGCTTGATTTGTCTGGAATTCTGTTTCTGCTGCAGATCACATATTTCAGCTGAATAATGTTGTGACTGCACATATTGTACAATGGACTCTTCTGCTTCATCTATCATCTTGTTTGACAGTTCTTTCGCAACTCTTGTTTTTTGTGACTGTTCATCTTTCTTTTTCTTGTTCTTTTCTTGGAAATCTGTAACTGTTGGTTTTTTTATCTTCACTCGTCGCATAAGTTCTTCTTTCACCGCAAGAATCCATGCAACAGATCTCTTTAAATTCATCCAGTCTGAAAAATGGAGGAATAGCTTGTCTATCACATCACACGTTTCAGTCATTGTGCTACTGACATAGCACTTAACTTCTGGATCATCAATCCCAATTTTCAAGTCCTCTTGATCTTGGTTTCCAGTTTTGATTGGAGTCTGTAGAATTTCTGGTCCATTCCACCAAATACTTGAGTATATCAGTCTCTTCATCTTGATACCTCTTGACGCCAGGTCTGCTGGGTTAGACTTTGAGTCTATGTAGTTCCACTGTTCAACATCTGTAGCCTCTCTGATCAACGCAACCCTGTTTGCAACAAAAAGTGTGAAATCTGGTAGTTTCATTACTTACGTGCCACCGTGATAACGGACATGCGGGTCTGTCCAAAAGTAGACATGTTGCAGTGGGTATTCCAAGTTCTCTTGTCAGCACTTTGCTTAGTCGTACAGATAGAACTGCAGCTGTGAGCTCGAGTTGTGGAATTGTGATCTTTTTCAGAGGAACCACTCTTGACTTTCCAAGAACTAGGAGCAATGGATTTCATCTTGACTGTTTGTGATGCAAATATAGGCAGCGACACCGTAGCCTGCATCACTGGCATCAGAAAACGTGTAGATCACAAGCACTAACTTCTCCAAAATCAGGTGGTTTGTAACATCTTGGGATTTCAAGTTCACTTACTTACTTTAGATCTTCAATCCAAGTTTGCCACTTCCTTTTCATTTTGTCACCAATGTCGTCGTCCCAGTTGATATTCAATCTGCATAGGTTTTGCAGCAGTATTCTTGAAGTTAACGTAAATGGTGCTAACAATCCAAGAGGGTCGAAGACAGAGCTTGCTACAGACAGAATACCTCTTCTTGTTTCTGGCTTGGGTTTGATGTTCACATCAAATCTGATTGTATCTTCTTCCACATTCCAATGAACACCAAGTGCTCGTTCAGATGGAAGTTGGTCTTTGTCAAGGTTTAGGTCCATGGTACCTTCAGCACGCTCTTTGATGGGTACTGAGTTCATGACACTATGGCTGTTAAAAATCCACTTGTTCAAATGGAAGCCTCCATTAGAACATAGCCGAGTTACTTCTTGGATAAGTGCTTTTGCCTTCTCATCTGTTGACGTTGACTTTAGGAAATCGTCCACATAGAAGTTTTTCTGTATCAGGTCTGTGACTTCTTCTGGAAAGGAAGGTTCATTGTCAACAGCAGTTTGTCTGAGAGCTATGTTCGCACAGGTCGGTGAGGAGATGGCTCCAAACAAGTGAACAGTCATGCGGTAGGTCAAGGGATCCTTTGACAAGTCGCCACCAGGCCACCAGAAGAATCGTAGGAAATCTTGTTCATCTTTAGGAACCTTCACCTGGTAATACATAGCCTCAATATCCCCCATTATGGCAACTCTTTCTTCTCTAAACCTCAACAGTATACCAAGCAGACTGTTGGTTAGGTCAGGTCCTTGTAATAGCTGGTTGTTCAGAGAGATGCCCTGGTGTAACGCGGAGCAATCAAATACTACTCGGATCTTTTGCTTCTGGCGATGGTAGACGCCATGGTGTGGAATGCACCATTCTCGTCCGTCACCTCTGTAAAACTCATTGCTTGGCACCTGTTCTGCATAACCCTTGTCGATAATTTTGGTCATGAGATTTGTGTTGTCGGAATGAAAGTCTGCATCCTTCTTCATCTTACTCTTTAGATTTCCAAGGCGTTGTAGTGCTTGACTTGAGTTGTTTGGTAACTTGACGTTGTCACTTCTAAAAGGTAATCCAATCGTGTAATGTCCAACTTTGATATCTAATGACTGTGTCACCTTGTTGAGGAACATCAAATCTTCCTGTGAATGTTCTTTTCTATCATCTATTGTCCGTTCCGGAAAATCATAATTCATAGTCTTTTAACATCTTGTTGATACTTTTCATTTCTTCCTCTTCTGTTATAGCAGCTACTTCTATTCTGTTGGCATATTGCATGTTGTCGACATCAGTCACAGAATCTCGAAGAAGGTTCCATACTACCCAGCCAAGGATTGTCTTTGTTGCATGTGGTGCATTGATTGGTCCTGTTCTTACTTCTTGGGGTGTGTATGCGCTTGGTACATTGTTGCCGATCAATAATTCTATTTCCATTTTCTTCTTGTTTAAGTTGATGTCAGATAGGTGTGGCCATTTTAAACCATCATCTTGTTGTGGAATGTGGTTCCTTGATACAGGTAACTTTTCCTTGGAATAAACCTTAGGCAACTCAATTGTAGATTTCATGTCCAGGTCACAGACTGTAAGACCGCTGATTTCATATGTTGACATAATGTGGGGCTTACCCATAGTTTCGAGAGATATCATCTTCTTTCTTCCTTCACAACCTAGCCTTTTCATCAGTGCCTCTGTGCAAAAGCATGCGCTACTCCCAGGATCGAGGAATGCATAAGTCTCAATGTACTTCAAACTGTCCTTGTATCTCACCTTGACTGGGATAATAGCCATAGTGCACTGTACTTTACCATCCCCCTGTGTCATCTTCCTGTGTATGTTGTCTCCGACCTGCCTTGTCACAACCTTGTCCTGCCTGTCAACCTTTTCATCTATCTTGTCCTTGTGAAGAATGGTTAGGTGTTGACCCTTACAACTCTTACATAGTGCAGCTTCCTTCTGGGGGCAAGACTTACTGACATGTCCATGCCTCAAGCACCTGAAGCAAAGACCTTTGTTCCTCAGTATGTTGATCTTGGCGATATGTTGTAGAGATCTCCACTGTTCACACCTTTCAACGCCATGTTGGTTTGACTGGCAGCAAATACACGGTGCAAGATAAGCTTGTGCTCTTGTCAGAGACTGTAACTCTTCACTCTGACTGTACTGCTTGGTGGGAAGATCAGTAGCAAAAGAGATTTGCTTGTCTTTATATATTAGATCCCTGTTGCTGTGTTGTGTCTTCTGAACTGGTTTGTGTTCAATCCTTAGTGCCAACTTGCCATAGATTGGATCGTTTGCTTTTCTGGCTTCCAGCTTGACAAAGTCTACAAGGTGATGAAATCTTATCAGCTGTTTTTCACTTCTTCGTCTCTCCACATAGCCTCTCCACTTGTCATGATAGTAGTAAGGCAGCTTCATGGCTAGCCTTTTGATATTGTCGGGGTATTCTAACACCTTCATAGCTTCAGTGCTTTCTACTGCGATCATGCATTGTGAGGAAAATTCGTCAAGCGCTTTTACGCTGTCATTCTTGATGGGGTTCCAGGCTAGAGCCTTCTTGATGAACACTGATGCAATTGTTTCTGTATCGCCATAGCGACTTTCTAGTTCTCTCATCGCAGCTTTATAGCCTCTTCGTGAGTCCAAGTAGCTAAAGCTAGATACAATTTTGTGAGCTTCCCCAGTTGTAAACTGTTCTAAGAAGTTCATAGTTTCATCTGTATCTTCTGCATAAGCAGCTACCTTTGTCCGGAATTGACGAATAAATTTGTTGTACTCCAACGGATTTCTGGAACTGGTTTACGGAGCTGATTGACGACGCTTGAGATTGCTTCCTCAGGATTCATAGAGTGCTGTTTGGGGGTTATGAAAGAATGGTTGTTTACCGTAAAAAGGGACCCAATCCTGAAATTGGATTTTTGTCTCTTTAAAACACATTCCAACCACTTGAGGTTTAATTTTTGGATCATCATGACTTTCGACTGTTTTAGGAAGAGTCGTCAAACGAGAAAAGACTATTTCTTCCCTTAGATACTGTAAAATTTTGCCTATTTCTGTCCTGGTATAAGGAAGCATAACGCCAAAACGTACCCATTGTAACTTCACCTTGCATGAAATGCACGTGAAAACTGTTGGAAACGGGTATATAAGGCCCCTAGATTTATCATTTCACACCATACATTCACTACAATGCCGAGAAGAAGAGCTGTAAAAAAATATTGCAATATGTAAAAAATTAATGCCAATCTAAAAAATATCTTTAACCAAATATGTAAACACCTAACGCAAAATGTAAAAAACATTTTTAACGCAATTTGGGAAAAGATTAATGGAATCTGTCAAATACAGCTTTATCATCTTGGCGACTGAAATTCATTTGTTTACAAACTTTACTCTTGTTTTTCATAATAACTAAGGTATTGCAATATTTCTGTCAAAATTAACCTCATTTCTAACTTAAATGAAATCTGCTCTTTTGGGTCATTTAACATCAAAGTAAAGCCGATAATTGTGTAATATACATGTATAGCGATAATTGATATCATAATCTATATTCGACAGTATCCAAGGAAGTCATTTTATTCTTTATAGTATTTTTACATAAATGGTCATATGGGTTGTATTCATTATGTCCTATTCAAAGAGGTTTTACCTTTTGACCTTGTTTTAATCCCACAACACGTATGTTGCACAAAGTTGTGGATGTAAAATTACCCTCCGTCCATCAGTCTGTCCATCCAAACAATTGGTTTGCACGATATCTCAAGAACTGTTTTATCAAGTTTTACTGATATTTGGCACGGTAGCAAAGGTTCAACCTGAAATTCTGCAGATACTATTTTTTTTCTTTTTTCTTTTCAATGTTTTTGTTGAGAAACCAGTTTTGTGTTCAGATTTGTCCTATTTAGTGGTGAATTAATAGCAAATTCCTTTCCTTTATGGAATTAATGTATTTCTTGGTAGACAGACAAATAGGTTTTTTAATCTCACATAAAAAAACACAAATGAAATGCAGCAAATGCTGATAAAAAGTTTGAGCCATCCCATAGGAATTACAAGAGACTTGGTAATTTGTTTCAGAAAAACTTTGAATGAATTTGAGTGAAAATATCATATGTATCATGACGTATTTACATATAATATATTACTCAAAAATGCGAAAATTACCGTTTAAGTAAAAATGTGTCGCTGGACACAAATATCTTTGATTTAGAAATGGTAAATCCATCATGCAGTTTTAGGTATAAAGGACATGCAAGATGCATCGCAGTGATTCGTGTATTTCCATTCCAATCATATCTGATTTCCTTCAATCAAGTCACAGCTAATATTGCTGCCAATGAAATCGAGTAATACCAGAGACATTTGAGATTGGATCCCGATGTTGATCGCTCAAATTTAATGAAATAAAGTTTAACCTTATTAATTAAAACTCACTCACTCACGGGACATATGGTGATCACCTGGTTCTCACGGTTGTATCAAGAATCTTATGATAGAGATCAGAATCTTTGATGTAAACGGAACAGTGACAAGTGTTCTTCCCCAAAGAAATTCTACCCGGACACAGAGTCCAGTGATATATCTTGGCTACTTTCCTGAAAATGAAGGTGAACACTACATGAGTCTAAATCCAACTGATCAATTTAAGAGTAGAACAGGAAGAATGGGCAAAGAGAGAGGTAACAAGAGAGAAGGCGTCCAGCAATGGGACCGTAGAGAGAGAAAATGTCCAGTTCAGGTCGACAGTGTGACAAGAAGGTTGTCCAGAGCAATGGGACAGTAAGAGAGAAAGTGGTCCAGAGCAGTGATGTCATTGCGGTTCCATTTCTAACAATTCTGGTTATAGAAAAAAACATCCCTGTCTACCTCTATTCGGCGCGTTTGACTTCCGCAGCAGAGTTTTTAATGCCTATAGAACAATAAAATCTGTAGACCGTTTGTTCGGTCAAATTGACATCAAACAGCCAAAGATATATTGACCTCTACACATAATCCCTGACACTGTTAGTGTTGTAAGGCGCAGTGGACTGGCAATTGAAATCCGAAAGTTAGTGAAAGTTGAAAACTGGATAAATGCCTAGCTTAGGGTTGAATACCTGGCATTTGGGAGAGAGAGAGAGAGAAGAAGAGAGAGAGTCAATGCATAACTATTGGAGCTCTCTCTTAGATGAGTTGCTAGGTCTGGAGTCCAATGGTCAGAGCTACCATCTCGATACCAAGTACCAATTGCAATTAATTCGAACCCCATAAACAGTGACTTAAAATTGAATATATTACAACAACATGCATGCTATTTCAAACCGATTAAGAAGGATCAAAAAGTGGTTTTCTTTAAAAACCCAATTCGGTAATCACAGGTTATCAACAACGGAATGTCTTCACGATATGACTGAAATAAATCCCGATGTGACGATACATATTGTCTCACTCACTCAACAACGGAATGGACAGTTTTAAGGAGTCAAACCCAAAAGGAAAAACCTTGAATAAGACATAATGAATATAACCCATGTTACGAGAGTGTTATGTAAGTGATAGTTATTATTGGGTCACAATGTTTAGAGTTTTGAGTGTGGGTTGTGGGTCACATTTCACATCATGTATGTTCAATAGCTATAGTATTTTAGCGGCATACCTTTTGAGATAGCGATCCAGAGTTACCTGCCCTTGACAATGTTTTGATTAACTTGTTGACTTCCTCTTCTCTCAAGTTCTGAGAGAATATTGATACAGCCACGGTTTGCTGGAATGTTCAAGAATCTGTGTCAGTATATATAAAGGCTGGTTGTTGTGTTGTGCAACAAGGACTGACACATGGACTAACACACGGAAGTACACGGGACTTTTCACATCACTGGCGTTTCCTACCATCGTTGTCTGCCTTCGTCAACGTAGTCTGACCCTGACACTGCGTGCCTGACTGCTCTCATTACGAACTACCTTCATTCAGAATATCTGCTCTAACTACATATCAAGGCTCGTGGTGAGTTGATATCTTATATATGTGACCCAATACTTTAGATTTGTGACTCTATTGCATTGTACTAGAAATCTGTATTGTAATTTTATTGTAGCTTGCTCATTGTTTGCTCAATATATAATTGAATATTTTAGACTTGCCTGTGTTATATTTTGCTGGTTCAAAGGACTCTGAACAAAATATTTCTATAGTTAGTCTGTGAAGGTAGAGGGGTGGTTGGGTAGCCTAATGGTTACAGCGTGAAACCCATTTCTGGTGACCCCGCTATGATACTGCTGGAATATTGCTATAGTGCGAAAGTCGGTTGTCCTCTCATCGACTTGTTTGCAACTCGATTCACATTCAACCATCAAGTGATAACTTTCATCTTGCCAGTGCCAGATTCACTAGCATGGGCTGTAGACGCCCTAGCCGTGTCCTGGGAGGGACTGAACGCTTACGTGTTCCCTCCCCTGATCCTGTTACCAGAAGTGTTACGCGAGATCGACCAAATGAAGATCCTGCAACTGACTTTGGTCGCGCCTTACTTGCCGGGGAGATCCTGGTTCCCAGGTCTTATAGAGACGCACGGCGAGCCAGCACTAAGACTTCCAGATTGGCTGAAACCTTCTCGTCCACCCTCACACCAAGCAGAAGCATGGAAAGCCAGAAGCATTCCGGTTACACTTATGGAGCATATTACATGTTGCTTACAGAGAAGAGGGTACACCACCAGGGCAGCAAAGGTAGTAACACTGTCCTTACGTCGATCTTCACGTAATCTGTATGACGACAAGTGGAGAAGTTTAGACCAATATGCTACTCGTAAGGGGTTTACGGCCAGAAGAGTGACACGCCCACAAGTAGCAGACTACTTATGTCATCTAAGGTCAACTAGACGCCTGAAGGGCTCTACACTGTCAACTTATTTGGCGGCTATTAGCTCGGTCATCACCATGAAGACAGGGGTGAAGTTGACGAAGGTTCCTGAATTAGTTGCATTGCTGAGATCCTTCAAGCTAGAAGATCAACAGCAGAAGTTCTGAGTGCCAGCATGGGACCTCAACGTAGTGTTGCGGCATCTCATTGGTGAAGATTATGAGCCTTTGACGCAGACAATTTTTGCGTTGCTAACTCAAAAAACAATATTCCTACTCGCCTTGGCAACTGCAGCCAGGATGTCCGAAATCCACGCCTTAGATTCCGGCCATGCAAGATTTGAAGCTGGCGAACATACTGCAGTCCATCTAGGCCTTAGATGGGACTTCACTGCGAAGAATCAACTGCCGGGGCAAACAGATCGGTAGTTCTACGTTCCGGCTTTATCGAATATCCTGGGTCCAGCTGACACACAGGATTTGTCCTTGTGTCCGGTCAGAGCACTGAAGATCTACTTAGAAAGAAGTGCTGCGAGAAGAAGGAAGTTCAAGCATCTATTTATCCCATTGTCTCCCGCAACGACTGTAGAAGTCTCTCGGACGACATCTCCTTTTGGATCGGAGTGGTGATCCTAAGAGCATACAAAGCAGCTGCGTTAGAGCCTCCAAGAGCTTCAAACCCACATGAAGTTAGAGCATTGGCCTCGACACTCGCCCTACACGGGAACTGCTCAATATCCTCAATAATGGAAGGATGCTTTTGGAAGTCCGACAGTGTCTTTGCTAACCACTATCTAAGAGACATAGCCTCGGAAGACGTATCCGATATACATCAATTTGGCCCTTTGGTGGTAGCGCAGCAACTCACAATCCCAAATCAGCGTTGAAGAAATTTCACCTTGTCACGTAAACTCGTTGATGCCAGACAACTGATCCATTGCCACTGGCAGAGAGTTCCCTGTCTTACAAGATATGTCAGCGCATGAGTGATCCAAGACTCAGTTTCGGTAAAGTCCTTAACTTAACATATGGGTCGCGACACCAGTTTCGGTAATAGTCCTTGCCTTAACATATTGGTCGTTCCAGATATCTTAAGCAGGCGTTCAGTATGTCTAAATCCACGCAATCTGAAAGATTACTTACAATACTATGTATACGAAGGTGATCCCCTGCTGTACATCGGGCAGAATTACCATATGCAGCCGCGAGAAGAATTCCCAGGGGGTATATATAAGCGAACACGGACGTGAGTACAATCAGACAGGGAATCCCAGAGGTGGTTGACCCGCCACCTTTTCCGTCGGATTCAGTAAGCAAATAAGTATGAGTCAGGATAAGGAATAATATGTAATTTTTATGATAAAATTGATATTTTATACTTATCCTGACTCATGAGATGAAGCCCTCCGAACCATCCCCTCTCACCACTCGGGCTTCCCTGTAAGCACGTGTGGGGGTATATATCGGAGTTTTGAGGCATGCGCAGGTCACGTGGACACTTTTCGCGGGGAATGGAGGTAGCTCAGGGTGAGTGATTGTACGTTCGCTTCAAGGGAATTTTGAAGGGATTCAAGTTTCCACTTAATCGTTCGGAAGAGGGGAAAGAGAAAGCAAATAAGCATGAGTCACGATAAGTATAAAATATCAATTTTATCATAAAAATTACATTTTACATTTTGCGTTAGGTGTTGTACTTTTTGCGTTAAAGACATCTTTTAAATATTGCGTTAATTTTGTACATATTGCGTTGTTTTTTACTTTTTACGTTAAGTTTTTACATGTTGCATTACACCATGGTCCCAAGTATGGTGATCTACCTTAAGTTGTTGGCGATCTGTAGCCTGTTTTTATATTGTATTGTCCACATAGTGCTATTGGTTTTAACTTTCCGCGCTAGTTTTAATTCTAATTGTGATATTGTAGTTGTTTTACTGTCCTTCGTTGACAGGTTTATATAATATACATATATTCCATTTCAATGTCAAATATGTTCTCGTCACGATATAGCTGAAATATTGCCAATGTGACGTTAAATATTAACTAACTCACTCACTCACAAGATTTTACATATTGTCTTGATTTTACATATTGGGGTTGTACAGGCAGTGTTATACTTTTGCTCAGCTTTGCTTCTGGGCTCCAGTACTGGGGCCAAGAGCCATTGCTTACATCCGTAACTGTGGAACAGTATACAAGTTTTTAGATGTAATCACAAGTCATTTAGTAGCAAATCTACCAACAAAATAACAAACTTATTCAACTATTTCAGTATTTCTTTTAATTATGTAACATATTGTGAAATGTGTAATTTTTGCCAAACTTTATTGGTTACTCTAATTTGGGGGCTTAGTCAGATAGAAGATTTTGTAAATAGTATCACAATATATTTTGTTTGAGGTAAATGATACTAACCCCGAGTCTCCGAGCAATACCCTTGGCAGGTTCCCAGTGTCAAGGAACTCTGCAACTTGACTGTTGTTCAATATAGAGAAGTCATGGCTTGAGCCCGGCCATTTTGCAACTGCATTGCTGAATCTGCAAGTCAAACAAATTCAATTATGCCATTATGTGTAAATCACTGTTTGTAAGAGATGACAAGGAATGTGAAATCTATCTGTCTTGTCTGTGCTGAAAGGCAGGCATTTTTTTTTTTTTAAATTTATAATGCATACATTTACTATTATTACAAAATATTTTAATAATAAAAAAAATATGATGTTAGCAAATTGAAAATGTATTCTTTATAAGCATACAAATGCACTGCTACATAAGAGTATTTCACAATAATTTGTTTCCATAAATATTCCATAAACAGGAAAATTACTAAGATAATATCTTATGGACACGTTATTTTCACATTTTAAAGTCTTGCCATCATAGACAGGAAATAGATTTAGAGTTATCTCCTCATCAACTAAACTCCTTACACCACAAGAGCAGAAGATGTTTGTAATGTAGTTTTTTTCAAGGTGACATTATCAGAAATAAATCGGAGTACTTGACGATTTTCTTTGTTTATGTATACATTTGTAATTGTAAATAATACTCGCCTTAGTGTGTGGTCACAGATCCCCTGTATGTTGAGGGCATGGTAGCCCTTCCTGCAAACGTACGCTTGCTCGACGTCGATGGGGGGACGCTTGATCGGTATGAGATTTCCATCAACACATCCTAACACTTTTGGAAAGCCACTGATCCCATTAAAGCCCATCATGATATGAGGTGCTGATTCGACAGTAGGAAAATGTATGTTGTGCAAGACGTCAATTATTCCTCTAATCGTTGGGTGAATGGGATACGGTGATTTCGTAGACAAAACCAGTTCGTAGACGCGGTGGATTCGTAACCCAGACTGGTTCGTAGACGGTGATTTCGTAGACGTGTATTAATAATTGATTAATAGTATTTGTTAAGTTTGATTTTTACTTAGAATGTGTATAACGAAGTTGTTATGCTTTGTTTTCAGTGATACGAAACTAAGGGCAGCTAAGGACAAGAAAGTGTGATTGAAGAGTGAACGAATATTTTCCCGTCTCTTGTTTTACATGTATTTGTATGAATCTAGAAAACAAATGATAAATATGTGAGGCATGATCATTATACTAATAAAATGCAGATAGTTTTTAAACAAGATCATCTGAAAGAGTGTAAAAAGAAGCAAAAAGTGTTTGTACAGGTAAACTTTGTCAGACAAAATTAGTCTCCTCATCATAATTTCCCGACTGTTTTCATTGTTGTGGGAGGATTATCAGATTTCACTGAGTTGTTGTGAATGTTAATTAGGAAGTGGCTTTGTTGTTTAATGACACGTCATCATATCTCAGTTGTGTAGATGCTGTTGATCACTGGATTGTCTGGTTCAGACCCGATTATTTACAGACTGTCGCCATATAGCTGGAATATTGCTAAAACTAAACTCACTCACTCACCCAGATCTTCATGGGTATACAGATTCAGATTTACCTCAAAAACTTGAATTTTAACTCTGGATCAAGATTCTGTAAGATTATCAATTCACGCCTCAGGCTCGGTTGCAGCGATTTAAACGCACATAAATATCAACGATTTATATCTTCAAATCTCTCTTGTTCTTGTGGCTATTGTTACGAAGATCCAAATCACTATTTCTTTTCGTGCGTTAACTACACTGACATACGACATAAAATGCACTTCTATGCTAAAGGATATGACATCAGCTCAATACCATACGGCCACTCTAATGGATCTACTAAAGATAATCTTGAATTATTAAAATCTATCCATTCTTCCATTGTACTGTCAGGCAGATATGTGTTGTAATAGTAAAAACGAAATTGCACTTACTGTTAAGTATTTTCTGACACTAATGGTCCTAATGGTTATAAGTGGCTATGTTAACAGTTTTTGATTGTTACATTTCCAGAAAGCTATTGTTTATTGTTTGTTATTATCATGCTTTTCTCCTCCCGATTGTTACATCTATATTTGTATTTGTATTCCGGAGCGGTATTCAGATAAGCAACATACTACTTGTTTACCAATCCAGTTCCCCTTTTTGAAATAAATATGTTTAAAGCAAATCAAATTTGAATGTTCCATTCACAAGGATGTCTGTGGAAATATTTGCTACAAAACCCTTTCCTCATCCATGAGAAAGCTCTGTCAAAAGCAGAGTTGATTGTACAATTCTGACTAATCACTAGCTAAATAGTGATGATACCAGGTGTTCATGAAAAGTTGAGCATATAGTGCCCTATTGGTGGTATACGTCATAAGCATATCATTCCTCACATATGCCACTGCTTCAACAAGTTGAAATTTTACTAATGCTGACTGGTTCTTGTTTAAAATACTTGCATCCGAAAATTTAATCCTGATCTGTTTATTGATGGATCTGATCCTGTACAGCATTTTCTGATGAGCTAAACTAAATAGCCAATAAATGTATTCCTATGTCCTGTACAAATCCACACATTTGTAAACCACAGTTTAACATTGACAGCAACCATGAAAGGAAGGCATGAAAAAAATAATTTTAAATAGCCATTTGAACAAAATAAACCCCTATCTTGGCAAAATTGTATTCCAAAAAATCTAGCATCCACAATCTTAAATCCACCTAATCAACTGTATACTAGTATATCTTAATGACGAAAAGAAACCTTAAGTTTTTAATCAGATAAAGTGGCTGATTTTCATGAAATATTAAGCTTCCTACAGCTCTTAGACATGCTTACAATACTGCCACATGAGCTGATAATATACATTACCAACTGAAACAGTTACACTTACCAGAACCATGTTCAGAAACCCTTCTGGTTATTTTTTTATGAAATACGGACTTTTAGATAAATTTCATTCTTCATGGCAAGATACCATAGTAGTACAAATATCCAAAGTAGATCATGACCACAAACTATTGAATGTAGGAAAGAAAGTTACTACCGTCTCTGCCATGTCTGTGGCTTTGACTCCGAGGTACATCCATGGTATGACCCTAAACATGTCCAGGGTGTCATGGAAAAAGATGCTTTCAAACTTCTGCTGAATAGACCCATATACAGCCTCAGAAGAATTCCTGCCAACAAACCTGATCTTGTCCTTTTTAATATAGCCAATGAATTTATTTATATCATTGAAGTTTCTGTCCTTTTTGATAGCAACGTGATTGGCAAAATTTAGGAAAAGCATGATAAATATACGGACCTCGCCTTTGAAATGTCTCGCGTGCATCCCAAGTACACTGTCGTCAGGCTCCCCATTGTTCTCGGTGCCCTTGGTTTGGTACCTCCTGATCTCTTGGCGCAGATCAGGAGAGTGCCCGGGTTCTCCACCGGAGCACAGCCCTTCTGACACTCTAGGTAATGCAGAAGGTTGCAGTGTTGGGGAGCCTTCATATTCTCCGGAAAGTTCTTGGTGGGTTTGACTAGGCAGTGTTTTGTGGGAGAAGTCCCATTCCCTGTCTGGACTGCGTGTAGAGGGGACGAGGGCCCTGAGCTGATGATGAGCCTTACCAGCCTGACTGTGTCAGGATCACCCGAACCCTTTCTGCTGCATTTCCATCTTAAATCTGTAAAACATAACAATAATAATAAGGGCCTGATGATGTACGCCATTCCGCCATTCCTAGATAGGGGAATTATATTCCCTGAACTGAATGTACATCACCCAGTTAGGGCTGACCCCCAGAAGCTGGTTTTCTTACTGGGTTACAAATAGACAAGAAGAAATCAATCTTTCACTTCCGCAGCCCAGTCAGGCTTCCTCCGGTAGTCAAACCAACCACACTGGAGATGGGACTTGCCCCAGGGGAAGGCACAGAACCCGATGAAGAATATCTTGGTCAAACCATCTTAATACCACACTACTTAAGTGTGTGAGAGCGACAGGGTGGCCTGCAAATCCATGCCTCAATGGCAAGTCGCTTAAGCTGCACTGGGACAATACCATGCCCATGTATGCTTTCCTGACGAAGCAAAGTCTCCGAGATCAATTCCGGCGGCTTAAAAATCTCATGCCCCGTGAGCCAGTTCAACCCATAACTGGAGTCCATCAAGCACCTTTGCATGAGCAGAGTGCTCAAGTGCCAGCAGACCCAAAACTTCTGATGGACGTCCGCGTTAACCTCTCTCCACTTCCTGATTCTTCCGGCATAGAGCCAACTGGCCCGACACGTCTGACCCAAACTCTTCTTCTTCCTCTACTGCAGATCTTTCTGAGAACCCTGTTTACAATTTATTTCAGTTCTATTTATCAGGAAATTTGTGATTTATCTTTAGAGAAACGGAGGCGAATTAAACAACTAAATGTGTCTTTTCCAAAAAATGAAATTGATATCCTAAATGAGGCTATTTCCCTAAAACTTTCTGCGGACTGTTCGTTGCATGAAGTGAATTGCTGTGTCTATGCTGCCGCTCGAACTTTGGAGGAACTTCACACAGTTTCAAAAGAAAAACCATCTAATGAAAACAACAAAAGACCAAGGAAAAACCGGTTTCTTGTAAAACTTAATGAAACAAGAAGAAATATTTCCAGGATTGAGCTGTGCCTTAAAATAAGATCATCAGGGAATCCCATGTCTAAAAGGCAAAAGGCAATTTGGAAGAAATTAAAATTACAATACAAGACAAGGAAAGAAAAAGTACTTCTCCAAAGTGTCGATTCCCTTGAGGAAAAATTAAAGGTTTGGACAGAAAGAAAGAAAAAATGGGAAAAGAAGAACAAATTTATCAAACAAAATAAACTTTTTAGAAATAATGAAAAACACTTCTACAGGCAACTGAAAACAAACTGTGATGATGAGCATGATAAGCGGCCTCTCATGTATGCCAATGAAAAGTTCTGGAAACAGTTGTTGTCTATACCCGGCGACTGTAACCTGGAGGCACCATGGGTCGGTGATTATGACCATGCAATGCATAAGAAAGTATCTAGGTCGTTTGTCTGCTACATCTCACCAGATTGCCTGAAAAGTGTTACCAAAAAGTCCAAATCTAATACAGCTCCAGGGCCTGATGGCATTCAAAACCGGTACTCGAAACTGTTCCCCTGTGTCCAAACACCATTACTTCACTGTTTCAATTCTCTCGTGGACACAGGTGATGTTCCTCCATGGTTCTGCAAAGGTCGCACAATACTCCTTCCCAAAAAAGGAGACTTGACTGATCCTCAAAACTTCTGCCCTATCACAATGTTTAAATACGCAATACAAAATATTCGCAGGGTGTTTGACAAACCTCGTGTCATCCTTCGATGTTCTTACAATGATATAATTTATAGAGAGCAGAAGGGAGCGAGAAAGGGATGTTGGGGGTGCAAGGATCAACTTCTTGTACTAAAAATGATTTTGGAAGAGGCTGAAACATATCACCGCAACCTCTCCATGTGCTGGATTGACTACATAAAAACATACGACTCTGTTCCTCATGAATGGATTCTGAAGTCTCTTCAGTGTATTGACCTCCCTGAGCGACTACTTGATTTACAAGTCTTTAATGAGTTTCTTGGTCGACTCACAAGGACTGGTGCAGACTTCGGAATCTATTCCAATTAGAAGGGGAATATTCCAGGGGGACTCCTTCAGTCCTTTACCTTTTTGTTTGTCTTTAAATCCTTTTTAGCTTTCTGCTCAATAGAGAGGAGGGGCACCATCCCGGACCTCAGCACAGATCCCAACCACCGCCTACTCATCTCCTTTACATGGATGATAATGAGCTCCTTGGCAAACGAGAAACCAATTTGAAATTAACAGGTTCGCCTTATCGAGTCCTTTTCTAATGATACTGGCATGACATTTGGGCTCGACAAATGTAATACTCTTCATTTGAAACGTGGCAAGGTAGTTAATGATTGATCGGTCAGGTTACAAGGGGGAGGAGTTATTGAGTATCTTGTGGAAGATCAGGCCTACACCTATCTTGGAATGCAATTTTGAGACAAGCTCTAGAATGCCCAGATTCAAGAAAAACTAAGGGCCGAGTTTAAACCTTGCTTAAAGAAAATCTGGAGCTCAGAGCTAAATGCTCGAAACAAGGTCAAAGCCACCAATACTTTTGCTGTGCCAGTCCTTTCCTATTCCTTTGATGTAGTTGATTGGACAAAACAAGACATCCAGAGTCTTGACCGCCTGACCAGAAGGAAGAACAAATTGTCAAGGAACTCTCCCAGCAGTCCGCCACGGCTGTAAAACAATTCACTTTCAAAAAGGACGGTGTTGTTCAACCAACAAACACCTATCTCTTTATGTTCGCGCGAGCAAAGATTCCTGACTCGGTTAGAGCTGGTTATTGTAGCATTGGTGTGGAGGTGTATGTCCCCAATCCACTTCGGTGCTACAACTGCCAAAAGTTTGGACATGGATCCAAGTCCTGTCGTTTCTCTGCTGTTTGTTACCGCTGCGGTGACAAGCATGAGGGCAATGACTGTACTAAGGAAGTAAAGTGCACAAACTGCGATGGTAATCATATGGCCTCTTCCAAGTTTTGTCCAGTGTGGCAACGCGAATCCGAGATCCTAAAGATCAAGCACAAATCCTCTAAAAATAATTATAATGAATTACAGTTACTGATTCAAGACTTCAAACCATCCGCGTTTTGTCTCCAAGAAACCTACCTAAAAAGGACTGATAAATTTGACATCCGTCAGTACAGTTCCTACCACTCCTTTTCTCCTCCTACAGGAGGAACTTCTATCCTGGTGAGGCAGGGCATCCTCCATAGCCCTGTTCCACTTAACGCCACCCTACAAACTGTTGCTGTCTGCATGACTCTGAACATAGGGTTTACACTATGTTCACTCTATCTTCCTTCCTCCTCAACTGTCCGCCTATCAGATCTTCAGAACTTGTATGATCAACTCCCAAAGCCCTGCATAATCATGGGCGACTTGAATGGCCATAACCCTGTATGGGGGAGTCGATACAAATAATAAGGTAAAGGTCCTTGAAGATTTTCTCTCCAATAATGATCTTTGCATCTTCAACGGTGGATCAAACACTTACCTCCATCCTGCCACTGGAACATACTCTGCTCTTGATCTATCACTTATGGATTCTAATCTCTTAAATGAGTTCGAATGGTCAGTCCACGATGACCTTTGTGGACCACTTCCCAACTATTCTTACTCCTATCAATCCCGCGGATGAACCACGTTCAACAAGATGGAATTTTACTGAGGCCATTTGGCCATTATTCCAAACTCTCCGCTCTGAAAAGCTTATACCGGACAACTTCAGGAATGTTCCTGATCCCATGGAACTATTTTCTGATATCTTAAATACTATTGGAGATGAAACCATTCCAAAGTCCTCTGCAAACCCGCACATATGCAAACCATGGTTTGATACAAACTGCAAATAAGCTAGGAAAAATAGGAAGAAGGCGGAAAAATACTTCAGACAACATCCTACTGTGCATAACCTGAATGCCGTTAAAATGACAAATGCCAGGGCAAGACGTACATTTAAACAAACTAAACGCCGGTCATGGAGGAAATATGTGTCCAAAATCAACTCCCGCACACCAATGTCCAAGGTGTAGAACATGATTTAAAAGAGTAAGGGCAAAGGATCCAAATCTGGTGTTCACCATCTCAAAGATGGTGACTCCCTTTTAACCAATAAAGTTGAAATTGCAAACAAACTTGGTGAAACTTTGGCAAACCACTCCTCCTCATGAAACTATACTGAAAGCCATTAAAAGTGTGGGAAACCAAGTGCGAGATTGGAAGATTAAAAGAAGATTTTTATCCACCAGAATTGTGTTGTCTGTCAGATGCCGTCCTTATTCACCTTCAATCCCTGAATCCCAGGTAAGTAACACTAGGCACCTTAAACTCGCAGTTTGACCTCTTGAGTTGAACTCCATAGCTGCCAAGTCAAATCATGACTTCATCTAGAATACAATCATGGTTAGCCTCATCAATGCCCTGTATCAGGATATCGTCCAGGTAACACATCACATCCTCAATACCCTGTAAAATTTGGTCATTGTCTTTTTGAAATTTTGGCAGGTGCAGTGGCTTTCATAGTAAGGAACACCTGTGCGTCAGGGTCTAACTCCAGCTGTTGGTAAGAATGAGGAAGGTCCAATTTTGTGAACACCGTGCCACCTGCCAATTTTTAGCTAACACATCACTGACATTTGGTAAAGGACATACCTCTTCTTCCAGTTGAGGGGGGCGGTGGGGTAGCCTTGTGGTTAAAGCGTTCGCTCGTCATGCCGAAGATCTGGGTTTGATTCCCCACATGGGTACAATGTGTGAATCCCATTTCTGGTGTCCCCCGCCGTGATATTGCTGGAATATTGCTAAAAGCGTCGTAAAACTCACTCACTCCAGTTGAGGATTAACACAAATATAGTAGTCACCACAAATCCTTACTGTATTATCGCATTTCGATACCACAACAACTGGTGAACCCCAGTCACTTTTGTGAACTGGTTCCAAAATACCATCCTGTACCAGGCAGTCCAGTTCCTTGTCGAATTCTTCTTTCATTGCATATGGTAAGTTCCTTGCTTTTGCTACAGCCGGCTTTGCATTTTCCTTAAGGCGTACAACAGTCTTAAACTAACTGACTGGTGATCCAGATTCCTCAAGCAACTTCCTGTGTTCCAGTTCACTATTTGTTACGAGGGAGGAGTGCAACGAAAGGGACAGCCAGGTGTGCGAGGAAAGGATGGAGCCGGCACAGCACAGGTTAATGAAGTAATAACTTTGTCGGCACTTGTGCATGTGCTTCTTGAAACACCTCTTGTCCCTTTCTCTGCACTCCTTCCTCATAACAAATAGTGAACTGTGTCAATAACTTAATGATAGTTTGTTAAACAACTTTTCTGTTTTTAGGGCTTAAATTCTGCAAAACCCTCAGAGAGTTGGTCTGATGTTTTAGTCATGATTAGCGTTTCATTGGGCACTTTTTGTTTATTGGTTTTCGAGGTTAGATTGCAATTCATCGGTCAACTTTTGAGCCAAACTGTATTAGCCAACAAACCAAAGGTACCTTGCTTCAGAAGTTGAGAAAAGCTACTTTCCTTCTTCCAAAGGCTACAATGGCTTAAGTTCCAGAAATGCATGCCTTGGACCATTAACGTCTTACTCATGCTAACAACTAGAGTGGAAATACGAAAAGATCACTTCCAAAATTCATTTTAAAGAATCAGTCAAGTACTGTTGGTTTGTTACGCCATAGACATTACGCCATTCCTACCTGAGCTGTACAAATCGGGCTCACCACTGTGTTGCAAAACAGATATATTTCCCAAAAGGTTTTCTTTTCTTATATGCAGGCACGTATCTCTGCATTTCTCCAAAGAATTGTAATTAAAAAATATTTTGTTTTGTTTTAATTAGTTTCTACTGAATCGGTGAAATACAACAGAGTAATCTGAAATATCTTGTCAGTTGGTCACTTGATAGTTTGGTTTGTTTACAGCCTGCCATCACAGGCAAGAGTAGAGCTGTGCATCTCTGGTTTAGGCCAAGTCTTTTCATGAAACACCTGGTATCATCACTGATTTTCAACAGTCAGTTTATTAATTTTCATGGGTATTTGCCTGTTTTGAGCAAATAAAATCTGTATTTTAATATATTTTATGCTTTGATATCTGAAGCCACAAAACCACCCTTTATCTGAGAATATACTAAGCAGCAAAAGAAACGTCAGTTTGGAATTTTCCGTCGTTGAAAGCGGATAACTGTAAACTCATTTAATGTATTGATTGTATATTTTGACAACATCTCCAACTTTACCTGAGCAAAGACATTCCTTCCCAAACTCAGAATGGAATCCAGGAAAATGGTTTAAAAATGCAACCTGATCTCGAGGAGATGGTACGGTGTTCTCCATGCAACTCATGCTGCATGTGCTGTTTACAAGGACCAGCCCTATAAAATACACCCCAAACCTGGTTGAAACATTCACATTACAAGCGTCGGCAGGATGCCGCGACTCACCGACGACTCAGGCACTAGGAAGACTTGAAGCATGCCACATTGCACAAGCCGTTGCCAATCACTTCCAGCTCAACGTTGGGACCATCTACAGGCTGCAGCAATGTTTCCAGGCCACCAACACCACAAATGATCGCCCCGTACTGGCAGACCAAGGGTGACCACAAGACGACAATACCGCCATATTGTGTGACAGCATGTACAGAATCCCTTCATGGAGGCATCCGAAACAGCAAGCAAGACAGTGGGAACACACGGAAGACCAATCAGTACTGATACAGTATGCCGACATCTTAACAGCGGGCACCTCCATTGCCGTAGACCTTACCGTGAACCTATCCTCACCCCTCGTCATCGGCGTGAACGTCTACAGTTTGCCCTACAACACCCAAACTGGCGATACAGGCAATGGAGAACTGTTCTGTTCACAGATGAGAGTCGGTACTGCGTATCATCTGCAGATGGCAGAACAAGAATATGGTGAAGACGTGGCCAGCGTTACTCAGACCAATGTGTTATGGAAAGAGGAGGTGGCATCACAGCGGTGCGCTACATCGACCAAGCTCTGAGACCCCACGTCATACCACATTTCGCACGTCACCGGAACAACAATTTACAGCATGATAATGCCTGGGCCGCTACTGCCAGAGCTACACGGGACTTCCTACAGCAGAACGGTGTCAACATTATGCAGTGGCCAGCCCTTAGTCCTGATTTAAACCCAGTTGGATATCTTTGGGATGAAATTCAGAGGAGACTGAATAATGTCATACCAAGGCCGAACACGGCCGATTTATTGCGCCAGGTCTTTCTCAGGGTGTGGTTCCAGGTGCCAATGGCCTTCATCAATCGATTGGTGCACTCCATGCATAGACGCTGTGCTGCAGTTATTGCCGCTCGTGGTGGTCACACTAGATACTGAAGTCCACATAATGTTCACATAATGTCTTGAAATTGTGCTGAGTTATTCATTGATGTGTCAAGATATTGTACACAAAAAATGTTTTGATCCGCTTATTATGTCCATTTCTGTAATGATTTGATTACAGTGCCTGTCTAATTTTGAATTCGTATGATGATTTTTTGCTGCTGAGTATATATTCAGCCAGATATAAAGAGCATCTATAGCTACCAGCACATTGGCACTGAAGAAGGTGGCTGTGGAAAGCTCAAATGATTTTAGAGTGATTGACAGCCCAAACAGGAATTTATGTCTATGTAATGCTGTCTACGTTATGCTGTTTGTGGCTGGTAATAATTGGCACAAAATATTAATCTTACCTTTAGACCAGCAGCTACTCTGACAAATGTATTCACTTCTCGTCGAAAACCAGCAGCTGTTTTCTTCATTTCTGATGATTTCTGTATTGCTTTGCGCACTATATCTATGGTCTGCTGTTGAGATGTCACATCGATTTCAGATACAGCTTCCAGTAAGCAGTCATGTGCATTATCAATTCTCTTCTCAAGATCACGTGCACTTTCTTCAAAATCAGAGCCCAGATCATCTTCTGTTTCTTGTAAGAAAGTGTGTAGTTTCTTTTTGGCAGTTAGAACATCATCAAATTTTTCTTCCAGGGAATTAATTTGTGAAGCATATGCACTTGCCTTCACTTGAGCACAAACATTTGAATCAAGATAGGAAAGGGGAACAATTTCACACCTGCATGGTACTCCTTTGTTGTCATTCAGCTTTTCAACTTCAGCCTTGAAAGTATCAAGTGCATGTAACATACCTTCAATGTCCCTGGGCATCTCACTTTTTTGAGTCGTAGAAAAATATTCAATCTCAATCTCAGAAAAGTTTGATATTTTCTGGTTCATGGCTTTGAACTGTCCCTTCACCTTTCCATCAATGAGTCCATAGGAACCTAAACCTTTCACAGATGCTTCAATGTCCTCCTTCTGCTGAGTATCACTGCCCTTGATGCGAATCCTGGCAAACAAATCCCCACCATATGTGATGCTTCTGATGTAATGAGTTCCCTGAACATTTTTTGACCAATCGGCTTTTGGGGTAGCATCACTATCCAAGGACACTGTCACCTGAATAATAAAGGTATACAAATTAAGTTTTGTTTATGCGTAATTCCTGCATTTTGAGTAGTGAGTGAGTGAGTTAATATTTGCTGTCACATCGGCAATATTTCAGCCATATCGTGACGAGTACAATCAAAATATTTATATCATTAATCAATAGAATTAGAAATTAAAAGCCTGTTGACAAAGAACAGTAAAACAACTAGTGTATCAGTGATATCCATTTAAAACTAGTAATTCAATCTAAAATATTTTAACTATATATGACAATACAATATAAAAACAGGCTTTAGATTGCCAACAGCTGAAGGCACATGGGCAATGTTTCAGCCATATCGTGACTAAAACAAGTTTTTAACTTCATCATAAATGCATGTAAATTACTAAAAGCCTGTCAACAAAGGACAGTAAAACCAATTAGAATAACACTGACACAAGAAATAAATCTAGTATCTATCTCTAAAACTGGATTTCATATTAGGACAATACATTATAAAACATCGGCTATATATCGCCAGCAACTGAAGGTAGATCACCATACTAGGGACCATGGAGACTTACAGTACCTTTGCTACCTGCATGGACCCTAGCTGTATTTATACCATCCCCTCAGCCGCTGGCGATTATAGGAAAGTTAAGCCATATTTAAAATCACACAAATGCTATGTTTAAAAATTCCGGTAAGTTGAAATGTACTTTGAAGGTTTTGGCACTTACGTATCCTCGCAGGAGGACAATAATTTTACAGTACCTTAACCCCCTTTGTGGATAACAATCTAAGTCACTTGTCTAAACTACCAATCTTAACAATATATCTATTTACAAAACACATTAATCAAAATTCATCAATTAAATCAATTTCTTTAAAAAAAACAATAATTAAATGGAAATCAACATTTGTAAAAAGATCCTTAACATTTGACATTGAAATATTTATCCCTTATGATGGAGATCACCATTCTAGGGACCATTGGGACTTATAGTATATTTGCTTCCTGCATGGACCCTAGCTGGATTTACATCATCCCTTCATCCGTTAACAATTCAGTCAAATCTAACCATACATTAAAAATGACACATATTCTACGACTAAAGAGATGGTAATAATAAATTTACCATGAATGTTTTGGGACTTACGTACCCTCTCAGAAGGACGCATTTTGAGTAGCAGAGTAGGTCACATTGTCATGTGGTTGTGTTAACACTGTGTGGTATTTGACTTACATCATTGCTGTTAAGATTCAGTACAGCTCAGTTCAATTCTGAGAAGATAATTTTGGATTCCAAGGCTAGACTAACTTTAGAAGTTTGACCATTGTTGCAGTGAAGTGAACATTGTCATCCGTCTTTGTTTCTATAATCACTGCTTCTATATTATATTGCCATTGAATTTGTATTGCCACTTTATTTTGTTCTTCTGTTTGGATTCGAAAACTTAGTAAATATCAGAATACAAAGGTTAATTATACAACACTTCTTTGTTGTTTGTTATTTCAAACCAAATTATTTTCGGTTTCAAACTGGAAATCGATACATAACAACATGCTGTTGCATTCATTTTCCAATGATCCTTACAAATTTGAGCCACATCCATCTAAACTCCTTTCATCGCTACTGTTTCATTACTTCTTCGTTGAATAAGAACAAGATAACTTGAGCATGGATCTTTAATCTTTGAATGGTTACATTTTGAGTTATGTCACTTGGCGGGAACCTTCGTTATTGTCATTGTGGGGAGAATTTATTGTTAATTGTTTATCAGTAATGTCACATACTTCCCCTTAAAGATATGCTCTTTACAGTAAACATTTGAAAAAAGGCATTAAGGCAGTTGTACAACATTAACTTAAAAGTCTCTGAAAAGACAGACTGCCTCAACACAACTGAACAGCTTTTCAGCTTTTGGTAACTGAAATATTACCACTTAGAGTCTTCCGGGAAATATGAAGAATACACAACTTCAGTTTGAAATTTAAAACTTAAGAGTCTTTGAATCTTGATGAAACTGTAACTTGTCTTCCACTTGAGGTTCTCGCAGCACTCTGTCCTCTAACATCGACGACTGGTCGGTCTTCACCTTCTGCTTGACAATGTCGTACCAAAGGTACGCTTCGTCTCTCCCTGTTCTGGACCAACTTGTGCTTCATGATGTGCCACCTGTGGTTCAGTGTGTCTTGGGTAAAGGTCAACAGGTGGACTCTCATCTTCAGCTGGCTCAGGTGCAGGTTCTCTGGACTGTCTCAAGTGTTTTCTGTTCCTCCTCAAGATTCTTCCATCAGCCGTTTTCACTTGGTAAGATCTTTCACCAACCTGTTCATTCACTACTGCCTTTTGCCACTGTAGGTTTCTGTTATAAGGTTTGATCCGTACGACATCACCTTCTCTCAGCAAGGGCAATGAATGAGCTGACCTATTGTAATACTTGGCCTGTTTTGTCTGTCTGGCAGCAAGCTTGTCAGTGATGTCATCAGCTGTACTCGGTCTGAGAAAACACTTTTGGTAGGTGAGTTTTCATTCTCCTGTTGAAAATTCTTTGTACTGGTGATGTACCTATACTTTCTATCGGTACATTTCTCCAGTCCTGCAATGCAAAGTATGGGTCTGACTGAGCAAGTTTTGATTTTTTCATCAGACTTTATCACACTCTCAACCTTGCCAATTTTATTGACGGTATCTCAATAAAAGAGGTTTGATGCTGAAATACATTACTAGAGGCAAATCTTGTGAATGCATCCGAGTTAAAAAGAGGTCCATTATCCATTATGATCTGGCTTGGTATGCCGTGTCTTGCACAATGAGCCTTGAATTTCTCAATAAGCTCTGTTGCGTTGTTACCACTCATGTGGTCTACCTCGAAATAGTCGGAGAAGTAGTCCACGGTAATAAGATAATCATGCTCATTAAACTCGAATAGATCACTTGCAATCTTATCCCATGCTTAGGACGGTAAATCATGGCTTAGAAATGGTTCTCTCTACTGATCTTTTGTAACACTATTGCAGATTTCACATTTTCTGATATGATCAGTTAAATCGCTTCTCATGTCCGAGACAGAAAAATATTGTATCATGTCAATAGACTCTGTTTCAATTGCTGTTGCTGATCTCACATCCATTTCAAAGATGGCATCCATTTCAACACTTCTTGTGGTCCTTGTGCAAGGCAAGTGTGCTTGACTAAATGTGTCTGTAAGATACATTTGAGAACCTTTCTTGTGGACAATAAGCAAGTCAAACTTTTGAAGCCTGAGCATCATTCTCTGGAGACATTTGGGTGCACTGTGCAAACTCTTGTTCATAACTGACTCTTAACGGTTTGTAGTCCGACTCAACTTTCACCTTTCTTCCATATGTGTAATGCTCAAACCTCTCATATCTGTCATCTCAATCCTGGACGATTCTAGACAAGTGGTGTTTGTTTCCCTAGCTGGAATGGTGGACATGATGTTCTCCTGGTTCAGGGTGATCAACTGCATGTGTTGAACAACTCTTGATCCAAGAAGTGGTCTTAGGCCACCTTTTACAATCAACATTTCAACACTATACTTTTTAATGTTGACCCGTCTCTTACCTATTGGTACAGTCTCTGTGTTATTGTACATGACCAAAGTTGTTGCGGTTTCTTCCAACATTTTCAGCTGTGGATTCCTAAAGACCTCAGAGTATACTGCTTCAGGTAGAAGATATACTGTTGCTCCACAGTCATCATCACATCTTCATCATTAACTTTCATCCAGGCAAACAACATTCTCTTGTATTTCTCCTCTTCAACACTGGCGATCTGTTCTCTGCTGTCAATAGCCAAAAGAATATATTCCCTCTACCTCAGAGTCGTCACTATCTCCATAGTCCTCAACAGCATGGACTTTGTCCCTGTTATGTTTCTTCTTTGTATTTTATGTCATCAAACACTTTCTTTCAAAGTGGTTCTTTCCTTTTAGTGCAGTGGCTAAGGGTGAAACTCAATAGTGTCTCCATATTTTCAAGATCGATGTCAAATTTGATACCCAGTAACTATTCTACAGTTCTTCAATAGTTTCATTCGGCTACGTTTTTTGGAACCAATCCAAATCAACTTTGTCTTATCAATATTAAGTTTTAAACCGTAGGGGCGGTGGGGTAGCCTAGTGGTTAAAGCATTGGCTCATCACGCCGAAGACCTGGGTTCGAATCGCCACATGGGTACAATGAGTGAAGCCCATTTCTGGTGACCCCCGCCGTGATATTGCTGGAATATTGCTAAAAGCGGCGTAAAACGCAACTCACTCACCCACTATCACATGAGCCTTTAAGAGGCCATATACTCTGTCAGTCAGTTTTAAACTGGAAAAACGTGCAAAAAAGTTTAATGTGTTCATGACTGCTTGCAAACACCTTTCAGTACCATCTAACATTAAGGAAGTATCATCTGCGAACTGCGTTAATAAATGTTCAATAGAACCAATCTTTAATCGTCTGATAAATGTATTTCCTTTAAATAATCTGGTTAAAATTTCAGTACATACTATGGAAATTTATGGAGAAATTGGGTCTCCTTGGCGACAGCCTCGACTTATTTGAAAAATGTACTAGCAAAACCATTTACTAATACACAAGATTCAGAATTGTGATCGAGCAGTTTTAGCCATTTTGCGAATGGAAGGGCCGAAATTATAAAAAGCGAAAACGTTTCGAATAAATCGCCAGCCTAAAGAATCGAAAGCCTCTTCGAAATCAATAAGCATGAACAAGCCTGGAATCTGATAGGTATCCACATATTCCATACACTTGTCTTGTAACCTCTCCCATATATCTACCCTTTATGAAACCTTTTTGTTCCTCACTCATATATGCGGTTAAAGTCGGTTTTATTCTCTCTGCTATAGCTGCAGAGGCAAGTTTGTACACGATATTAAGTAATGAAATAGGTCTCCAGTTTTTAGAAGCATTTTAGGTTTGCCTTCTTTTGGAATACATGTGATAATACCCTGAACTTTTGTGGCTGATAAAGCTCCGTTTCTGTAAGCATAAGTTAGCGATTTTATAAGATACTTATTAAAATCCCGCCAAAAGAATTTGAAGAATTCTGCAGTGAAACCATCAGGACCCGGGTTTTTTTCATTTTTCATACGCTTCAAAGCATTAAGAACTTCACTGTATGTAAATTCGCCTTCTATTGCTTCTGCTGATTCAATCTTTATTTCATACTGAAAGGCCACAGGCCTGTAGTACATTGTTTAATCATGTGCGGGTAGTAGAACATTCTTTCGGAGAATAAAAGCTTTATGGATATATATGGACAATCTTTCTATATGTGTTTTACTGGAATTATTCATCAATGATATAAACTTATGCATTTCAGGATGTACGTAATAATATTTCTTTATATATCTATTTCTTAACGCTAAGTATGCTGGGCAAACACATAAAAAGTGAAACTCATCTTCGACCTCGTGTAAGTTGCACATTTGGCAGATTCTCCTTTCTTTCTCAATACCTTGGTATCTCCCAGTTTCAACATATAAATCATGCTTGTGAACAGCGGAATCTCGCTAATGAAGATTTATATTTCCTTATGGTCAAGACTGAAAGATAATGTTCTGCATATATGGAATCTTTTATCATTTTGTAGTAAAACATTTATTAGATAATGAGAGACTAGTTAACCAATTTTGAAGGAATATATCTTTAAGTCTTTGTTTAACTGTACAGACAAAGTGAGAATGAGATTCTACAAATTGTTCATGCCAGGCATTGCCGAAGCCGATAGATGATAATAACTGTTTTATGTCTGTTACCCAATTACGTTTCCCATGGCTATCATATAGTATCATCATTTCATAACATTTTCTTGGCAATCTGTGTGAGGGCATTGTTAATAATTTCAACCAATATCTAATA